TCGGTGGATGAAGTTGCAAGAATGTCGAGACTGAGATGGTTTGGACATGTCCAACGTATGGGTGAGTTGCGTTTGCCAAAGAAGATTTTGTATGCCGACGCAGATGGACCGAGAAACAGAGGAAGACCCCGTAGACGTTATTTGGATTCAGTTAAATGTCATTTGGATGTTAGAGGGTATGATTGGTGTAGGGAAACTCAAGACCTGGCTCTCGATAGGGAAGTTTGGAGAGGAATTGTCAGAGGAATTTGAGTCTAGTCGTTTTGTAAAAGACCACACACCGAAAAGTACAATCCGTCTATAAATGATTGTTGTTGTTGCGTTTTTTAGATTGACATAAATGACTTTCGATACGGTTGAGAAATTGTAAAAATTGATGTATCAAATGATAGATGATGCAATTGTCGCATACAAACATACCTAACAGTTTTGTTTTATGGCCTTTTCCGTATTCAATGTTTTTCATCGATAAACTTAATTAATAAAATGTTATCTATTATTCATCACCATCAATTTATCATTTATACCAACAATATCGCTGTTTTGGTCAGCCGTAGTAAAAAAGCGATTATCGAAAATATTATTCCTCGAGGTCAGATTGAAACCACCTTATCCGTTTGGAAGTAAGTATTGTTTTGTATATACAAAGAACGTAATACAATATTTTATAAAAATTGTATAAGATTCACTTTCAGTTCTATTGAATGTTTTCTACGGTGGGAAGTGAAGCGAGCAAAAAAATCCACGAACTCGTTTAATCCACTGTAGTTCAAATCAATTTGTTGTATCATATAGACTCACTAAGCCACAGATCGGCAATTATTTTTACCATGGTGAATGATCAGTTTAATTCAATTTATTATGTCAATTTTCGAATGAAAATGATGACAATTGAATTTATTCTATTCTACTCCGTAGGAATGATTATGCACAACTAAACATCAAAAAAGGATAAGAATGGACTATATTTTAGCTCCAAGTATGCCAACACAAGTAACGATCATATAAAAATCGTTTTTTGTAATTATGATTGTGCGCATTTTTATTTATTTTTCGCGAATCATGCTTCGTACAGATACGGTTACCTATATTACGGTTATTGTAATTTTTTGCTGGTTTATATACCAATTATAATTCTTAATTGGTTTAATCTTTATCAATATAATGACGTCTTTCGTTGGCGAAGCGACCCTATATAAACCTATTGGCAATAGATTTGAATCAGTTGAAAAGTTTGTGCTTTGTTCAGAACATCAACGGAAGAAGAATAAATTATTAAATTAAATTCGAAAAATCATCGTTGTACGTTTAAATTGATTTAAAAATGGCATTATTAAGTGATAGTTGGAAACTCGATATGTTTGCATTTTTGGTTGGTGCTTTAACATTGGCATATTTCTATGTAAAATATGCATACAGCTACTGGGAACGAAAAGGCTTTAAAACGCTCCCTTCGTATAGCTATTTATTGGGACATTTTAAAAGTTTGTTTTCAATGGAAGTGTCATTCGGAGACTGGTGCAAAAATATTTATAACTCAACAAAAGAGCCATTTATTGGTATTTACGGTATTTTACGGCCAATGTTGTTAGTTCGAGATCCAGAACTTGTTCGTTCGATTTTAGTAAAAGACTTCGCGAATTTCGCTGATCGTGGTGTTCACTCAAATGAGGATTATGATCCATTGAGTGGCAACCTTTTTTCGATTACCGGACAAAAATGGAAGAATATGCGAAGCAAATTGACTCCAACATTCACATCTGGAAAATTAAAGGGAATGATATCCACGTTAAATGAATGTGGCTTTAAATTACAAAAACATTTGGATAAATTAGCAGCGAAACGTGAAATGTTGGATGTACGTGAAGTGTCTGCATGTCACTCAACAAATGTGATCGCATCGGTGGCATTTGGAATTGAAATCAATTGTCTGGAGAATCCAAATAATGAATTTCGAGTAAATGGTCGTAAAGCCCTTGATCAATCATTTATGAATGTAATCCGGGGACTTATTAGTTTTGTGCAGCCAAAATTAATGAGCATATTAAGACTTAAATCGGTTAATTCAGATGTGGAGCGGTTTATAATGTCGGTGGTGAAGGATAATATGGAATATCGTGAAAAAAATAATGTTAGCCGCAAAGATTTCTTTCAATTGCTTCTTCAATTGCGAAATAATGGAACCGTTCAGTTAGATGACAAGTGGGAAACGGTCATTAAGGCAGACGAAAAGCAAAAGTCATTGTCTGTGAATGAAATGGCCGCACAGGCGTTCATCTTTTTTGTTGCTGGCTTTGAGACATCATCAACCACACTTTCGTTCTGTTTATATGAAATTGTGAAAAATCCAGAAATTCAGAATCGTGTAATCGAAGAAATTGATCGAGTTTTGGAAGCACATAATGGACAATTTACATATGAATCAATTTCGGATATGAAATATTTAGAAAGCTGCATCGACGGTAAGATATAATTGCTACTCGACTGATATACAGATTGGAACTTAATTTTATCGAAATATCTTACAGAAACTTTGCGGAAGTACCCGCCATTGACCATTCTGAATAGAACCTGCTTGAGTGATTATAAGATACCCAATACAAATAAAATCATTGAAAAAGGAACGGAGATGTTTATTCCAATTTTTGGCTTGCAAAGAGATGAAAAATACTACGAAGAACCAAACAAATTCGATCCAGATCGATTCAATGAAGAGAATTCAGTAGGGAAAAATCAATCGAATCGACCTTACTATCCGTTTGGGGATGGTCCCAGGAATTGCATTGGCATGAGATTGGGTAAAATGCAAACGAAGGTCGGACTAGTTATGATGTTGCAGAAATACAAATTCGAATTGGAGGACCGACTTAAATCCGATCGTGAACTTGAATTTGATTCGAAATCATTTTTACTCAATCCAATCGGTGGAATCAGTTTTCATGTAAAGAGACGTTGAAGTATCTCCAGAAATACTTTATTGATGAATTAATTGGATGAGTAATTGGTTCTCTTCAACATTTTTACACTTATATTATTTTTTCATCACAAAATCGATAATTGTAAAAAGAATCATTTACTTTTGAAACAACTCTCCAAGTGATAAAATGAAATAAACTCAAATATAAATCGTTATTCGATGATATTTTGATTTGAACAAATAAATATACAAAGTTAATTGTAATGCAATTTTCTGTTGTGATATTGATTCATGGTTTAAATTTCTATATTTATTTATCGCTTTTTCTCTTCCTCTACCTTCAAAACTATTTCAGAATATATAACCTTACCCGGTGTATAACCTTACCCAAGATTTCCAATGTCCATTGCTATCCGATATCAGTTATTTTTAAATGATGATAAGACCGTCAATCTAACGTTTTTTGAGCTAGGGGAGTCTCTCACTTTTCTCAAGCATGAATATTTCAAGATAAAA